GTCTAGGGGTTGAGGCTGAGCTGCGCCCTCTGGGGGCTGAGGGGAGCTGTTCTCTGTCCAGATCCTGGGGTACTTAAGGGAGGCTCATGCCAGTGCCCCAATCCCTGGAGCCCTGGATTGCAGAGTGTAGCCACAGCCCGTGATTGTCCCTGCTCTCCTGGCCACACACTGCTTTTGCTGGGCAGTGTCTGCTTCTCTATGCCCACATCCCTGCGTCGTCCCTGGAGGTGGGAGGAGCTGGAGGGAGAAGCTGCCTTTGCAGTCTGACCTCTTCCTGTGAGCTCACCCTGTCCCCTCTGCTGTCCTCTCTGGCTGGGCCTGGTCCTCCTGTAGGCCAAGGTCCAGAGGCTGAAGCAGGAGGAACGCAGAGGGCTGGGTTCTCCACTGCTGCAGCCGCTCCTGGGTCCTTACACCAGAGGCCGTGTGGGTGCCATTGTGACACTCCCGAGCCTGGGGTCTTCCCAGGAAGGGGAGGGATCTGCTGAGTGCAAAAGGCTGTGGTTCATGGAAGCCTTGGCCAAGCTAGACAGCAACGTGGTGGAGGTCTCCGGTGCCATGGTGGGACAAGGCAGTGCCCCTGGCGGTCAGGGCGGTATAGGGCTGGGGCTCCCCACTGGTGCCCTCTGTCCCCAGCTGGGAGCTGCTGGAGACTGGCACGGCCCTGGCATGGCGGGGATGTGTGCACGAGAGTCGTGCATCTGAGCCCAGCAGGGAGCCATGGGTGGTCTGGCTGGCTGCAGGGTGTGCCCCAGCTGGCCCTGTCTGCTGTCATTCACTGGTGCAGGGCGGGGACTATTCTGGGACTCTAGTCCCCTCTGCCAGTGGTCATCCTGTCCGCAGCGTGGTGCTGGCACAGGAGAAACTGATCCTCGTGAGTTGGCTGGGGAGGAGGGCAGGCCCAGGAGGTGGCCCACCTGGGAGATGTGGCGAAGTTGGGGTGGGAGCCCTTGGGGCCACTGCCCCATCCAGCCTGGGCCCGGAAGAGCCCTGCTGCTGACCCTGAGACTTTCATCCCAAGACATGGGCTGCTGTTGAGGCATCCTTTTCTCTAAAAACTAAACTGCTTTTGGCAATTTGACTTTGGTCATTTCATGAGACTGAGCGGGGCAGAGCCAGGTGGGCTGTATTCTTGGAGGGCTTTCTTGGTTTTTTTGACTTTTTTTTTTTTAAAACGGGGTTTCAATATGCAGTCCATGTTAGCCTAGAACTCACTCTGTATCCCAGGCTGGTCTTAAGTTCACAAGGATCCTCCTGCCTCAGCCTCCTGAGTGCTAGAATCACAGATGGGTGCCATCACACCCGGCTAAGTGCAGTTTCCTGGGCTCCCCCGCCATATCCTGAGGCTGAGCAGAGCTTTGCACCTAGAGGAGGACCCAGGGCCACTAGAGGGCGCCCGAGGGCCACCTCAGGTGAGGCCATGCCCTGGGTCCTGGGGTCCTGGGGTCCTGGCTCTGCATTCTTTCTGCACAGTTATGAGTTCCCTGGAGGAACAGAGTGAGGAAATGTGTGGGGCAACTGTAGGATGCCCATCTATAGGGTTCCCATTCTTTGTTTTTTTTCTTTTTTGAGACAGGTGCTCAGTATGTGCTGGCCTCAAGGGCAATCCTCCTGCCTCAGCCTCCCAGGTGCTGGGATTACAGGTGCGCACCGCCAGGCCAGGCTTGATTCCTTTTTTTTTTTTTTTTT